GGATCAGCCCCTGCTACCCGCTGCTGGGCAACGCGCTGCTCTTCGAGCCCAAGGGGGAAGGTAGGAGCCCGGCCCGGCCCGGCCCGAGCCTGGGGCGCTGCTCGCTGCGGGGTGCCTGGCGGGAGGACCTCGGTTCACTCTGGCGCCGGCCCCTCTGGTAGCGAAGGCGGCAGCCGGAGACACTTGCTGCTCTTGTAACCCGGGTCTTCTTTCGCAAGCCGGTGGCTGGGCCACTTGAACCCCCCTGGATGCTGCTGCCACCAGCTAGGGACAAGTGGGGCTGGAAAGGAAGTGGGAGAGGCTAAAGAGTTGGTTTCGAAAAGGCGCTGGAGGGTGGGGGGCACGATAAAACGGTAAGGGAAAGGCAACTGGGATTTATTATTGACAGTCTCCCGCAAAACCAGCTCCAGGGGTCCCCAGGTGAACGGAGTCGGTGGGGTGTTTCAGACTAATGCAAGGATGTTCTTTTCCACGCGGTGTCTCATTCCAGCCTGGGACTTGGTGCCACCGGCTGTTGCGGAAGCCAGCAGTTTAGCCAGACTCACGAAGGGGTTGGACAGGTCCTTGGAGGAAAGGGGCATGGGTAGCTATTGAGCATGAGAGTGAGGGGCACGGCTTCTGAATCAGAGCCTCCTAGACCTTAAATGCTGGAGGCTCTAAGTGAGAGGGGAACTGAAAAAAACCCTAGTTGTACCCGGTTCCCTCTCCCTTTTGGCATCTGCTCTACCCTTGCGTGACAGAGGAGACTGGGCAAGATGGGCCTGTGGTCTGGCCCAGTAATAGCAGTTCTTATGGGAATGAGGGCCTGTCTTGCCAACCAACAATCCCCGCATATAAAAAGAGCCAAGAGTCCCTGAGGTGTTGCTGGGGTCTGTCAGGCAAGTCTCTTTGGAGCAGCCCTTTGCTGTGTGTCAATGAGCTCTTAACCTTGGACAGATCCAGATTTCCAAACCAACCGCATGATTTCTGCTGTCAAGGGAGTCTGACACAGGAGTCAGCTGAGCTGTCAAGCTTGCTTAGCTAGCTCTTGTGGGTAATAAGTGAGAGCAAACTCTGGAAGTGTTTGTTGTCCTGAATTCCAAGCAGTGCAGTGTCACTTGTGGTGCTGTGAAAGTGCCATGCCCTTTGTTACATCCTCAGTAGAAATCAGGTGAACTGAGAGGGCTTTTTTGACTTTGAGGCACTTACCTGGCTCTGGGAGATCTTTGTAAGGTGTTGATGTTGCTGTGAGTGTCTTTCAATTAGTGCTCTGTTCTTGAGAGGCAATACTTTTATGACTTCTAGTAGATGTAAAGTGTCCTCAGCTGAGCCTAGCTCCCTGCACAGCTCAGCTGAAGCAGGGCAAGAGTGGCTCTGGATTTTTCCCTGCCTCCAGGGCAGCCAGAGTCAATGGGGATGGTGGCAGTGAGGGGGGGGAGGGATGGGAGCTGGGCAATTCTTACTTCCTCTGGTGACCTAAAAACTAGGGCTGTGTGGAATTTTGCCACCAGTTTTGTTTCGATGCTGTTTCGACCCATTTCAAGGTTGAAACAGCAAAATCAAAAGGGGACACATATAGTCGAAACAGCCTGAAAACAAAATGAGACAAGTCGAAATGTTTTGATGTTTCGCCCATTGGCTATAATGGGGGAGGACAAAACAGCCTATAACTTTGTCATTTCTGGCCTGATTTGGATGAAACTTGCAGGAATGGTATCCCCTTCCGAGGGCACAGAGTCTGCTAAGTTTCAAGGAGATAGGTGCAGGGGGTTTGGGGAAACTGCACCCCAATGTTTTGAAAGCAAAACTTGTGTCAATTGTATGTGTTAAACCACAGTGGGGTCAAAACTCCAGGCATGCCAGCCCCTGTGGAAACTGCAAAGCCTGCCAAGATTCAAGGAGATAGATGCAGGGGTTTGGGGGAAGCTGTACCTCAAGCTGTGGACAAGCAAAACTTGTGACATGGGTGAGACACTTTGTGTGTTAAGGTGCAGCAAGGTGAAAGCTGCAGGCCTGCTAGCCCTTGCTGAGGCCACAAAGCCTGCCAGCTGTCAAGGAGATAGGTGCAGGGGTTCTGGGGCCCTGTACCCCTAGCTGCTGACAGGCAAAACTTGTGTCCTGGGTGCTTGTGCAACTGTGTCCATCTTGGGGCACAGGGGCGGGGGACAGAAACTACTGCAGGCCTGGTTGCTAGGCCCTGCTGTGGCCACAAAGCCTGCCAGCTGTCAAGGAGATAGGTGCAGGGGGGTTCTGGGGCCCTGCACCCCTAGCTGCTGACAGGCAAAACTCGTGACATGGGTGTTTATGCTAGCTAGCTACTGTGTTACACAATCAATCATGATTCACTCAGGGTCCAGCTCAATACACAGTAGCTAGTGAGGATAATGAGTTAGTGAGCAAAGATTAACACCTACAAAACCGTAGACTAAGGAGAGGAAAAAATCAATACAGAGCCAGGAAATGCTTCTGCCCCAAGACTTCTTCTTCTCATCCAAATGCTTAGAAATGAATTCCTTGAAGACCTGCTCAATGATTTTTCCAGGGACTGAGGTGAGACTGACTGGTCTGTAGTTCTCTGGATCGTCCTTCTTCCCTTTCTTAAAGATGGCCACTATATTTGTCCTTTTCCAATCATCTGGGATCTCTCCCAATTGCCACGAGTTTTCAAAGATAATGGCTAGTGGCTCTGCAATCACATTGGCCAACTCCCTCAGCACTATTGGATGCGTTGCATCCAGCCGCATGGGCTTGTAAATGTCCAGCTTTTCTAAATAGTCCCTAACCTGTTCTTCAGCACTGTTGGCTGTTCACCTTTTCCCCAAACTGTGCTGCTAGGGGCAGTAGTCTGGAAGCTGACCTTGCCTGTGAAGACTGAGGTGAAAAAGGCATTGAGTACTTCAGTATTTTCTGCATTATCTGTTACTAGGTTGCTGCCTCCATTTATTCTGAGACCCACACTTTCCTTGATCTTCCTGATATATACTGCTAATCTTGTGTGAGAGTGCTATGCCAGTACATCAGGGCTTGTAACCCTGCAACTTTATAGTCTAGGGCAGGATTAGGCATCCTTGCTCCAGGAAGCTGCTGTTTCAGTAGATGAGAATGTTTTAGAGGAACCCGTTCATAAAAATCATAGCATGGAATAATGCATCCAGGTTTCCAATCTGGAAAACAACAAAGAAGTGCCTCCTCCATAAGTATTTTGTTTTGAGTGTGGAGAACCTTCCAATATGAAAGTCTGGTCAGTACTACCAAATTCCCCAGTGGTTGATTGTTTACACAAGGTTTTGATTTTGATTCACACATTCTAATAGAGATCTAATATTTAGCAGGGTAAATAAAGTCTCGGGAGCTCTATACTATAGCAGCTAGACTGCTTCTGGTACCCAAGTACAGTAGCACTTAAAGTACCTCTAACCTTCATACTGCACTGCAGAGTTGATACACTTTGGGCATGTCTACATGTGAATTTACACATGCCTAAACGTAATGCACCATAGCCAAAGGTGCTTTAGGGTGATTTAGGTGTGCATCTACACGTGCACGCCTTAAGGTATCTTAACAAGGCTTGCTGGACAAATGCATTTGGAGCCTGCCCTGGGCAGCACCCTGGAGAGCCTCCTGGAGCCCGTGGCAGGGTAGTGGGGTGGTGCAGCCTAGTGCCAGCTAAGGGGGTGGGAGCCACTAGCCCCCACAGATGTTATAAACTAGCCTAGTCCCCCCCAGTCCCAGCCCTAACCCCCTCCTTGTGTTCTTGCCCCCCAGCATTGGTTGAGAGCAGGCTGGAGCCTGCTGGGCACTACCAGGAAGCAGCAGCAGGTGCTGTTCTCCAAGGCACAGACTCTGGAGCTAGAGCAGTACCTGTCTGTGGAGCAGTACTCCGGCAGCAGCAGTACCTGCTGATGTCCTGACTGATGCCTGTCCCTGCCCCTGCCCCTACCTCTGCTTCTGCCGGCCAGTGTGGCATGGTTCCTCTGCTTGCCGCACAACACATGGAGCATGTGAAGCCGCCACTCATCCCTGGCCTGCCCACACATGTGCTGGGGCTGGGGTTGTTTTGCTTTTTTGTGGGGGTGGTTTGTGCCTCCTGTGCGCAGTCATCAGTTGACACACCGACAGGTACTGCTGCTGCCAGAACCACTGCTCCAGCTCTAGTATCAGTGCCTTGGAGAACAGCACCCACTGCTGCTTCTTGGTGGGGCCCCATGGCAGCGTGGGGCCCCATGGGCTCAGCTCTGGCCTGCTCAGTCAACATAACCAGTGTTATAGCGCCTTAAGGCATTTACACATCACTTGAGGTGCCTTAACTATTCGTGCCTAAATTTGATGTCTGCTTTATGCGGGCATCACATTTGAGTGCAATTAGCCTAAAATAGTCATTTTAAGGTGCATTAAGGACACACATGTGTAGACCCACAACCTTAATGCGCCTTAAAAATGGCTAAAGCACCTTAAATCAGCATGTGTAGATGTGCCCTTTGAGTGCTACTGCAATGAAAAAATAAGTGCAAAACAATTGTGCTTTGGTGAAGTAAAACCAAAACACCAAAACTAAAGCTATAGTGAACTTACAGTCAGTTCATTACAGAACTTTCAGTTTTGGCCTATTTAGGCAGATTTCTCTTTTCCAGAATTCTTTAAACAAGTAATCCAATATACTGAAGACTACAGGAATCAACCGCTGTTAAAACTTTGGGTGGGACCACTACCTTTTGTTGTTTGCTATCACCCTGATACTGTGGAGGTGAGTGTGCCTGCCTCATGATTCATTGATCTGTTTGTAGTAGTTATACTAGCATGACAAAAGTCAGAAATTCTTTTTGTGTAAGTTTTGCACCAACCCCTTGCATTTAGATTGGTATCTAAAGATACAAGTGATATTTAGATTGGTATCTCAAGGTTCATAGGCAACTTCATGAGAGCCAGTGTTACTGAAGGCACACTGGAAAGAAAAAGTAGTTATGGTAAATTGATAGTAATACTTCAGATATAACTCAGATAAGTTTTTTCAAATTAATTTTTAACTGTGCAACTTTCTCTTCTTTATCTTAACTTCTGAGTGTACAATACCTACTGCTAAT